AATCGAATTATTTCAAACTCGAAATATACCAAGACAATATTTATGTAGTGAATATATTTTCTTAAACAAATTAAAGTTAAAATAAGTTGTTATAGTTATAATAATAGTATAATAATAATAATAATCGTTTATTTAAATGAATAAAAARATTGGAAACAATCATTTAAAAAAGATGTATTATCATCATAAGTTTTTCTTAGACACCAGAATTTAAGAAAGTTAAGCGTAAAGTCCCATTTTTTTACAAGCATTAATCTGATGTTGATAATTTTGAGTTTTTAAACGAAAAAAAAATTACGAAWTCGTAATTGTYAGCAAGATACATTAAATATGTGAAAAGGARTTTATTACCATAAAAAATAAATATATTAACAAATCAACAGTTTAACAACTGTTGAAACAATATTATTAATATTAAAGTTCATGCACAAATAACAAAATGTTTGTTAATATAAAATATTACAAAAGTTACTATTAAAATCAAAAATTAAAGGGTGTCAAGAAAGTCTGTGGATTATGAAGTATGGGTTTAAGAAAAAAGGAGCTTTTATAAACCTAACAGATATATCAGCTTGAAATATAATACGTCCATATAGCAATATAGTATAAAACTATAAAAGGTAGACATGTCAAATTTTCTGACATTATCAAGTTCACTATTCACATGTATCTTACTATTGGAGATTTTCTTGACCATTGTTGCATAAAGAAGTAAGTSTAACATAAGATTAGTCTTAATCTATTTTTAGCGTTTAAAATAATTTCGCTTTAGTTATATTTGTATAATATAGAAAACAAAGCAAAAAGTAAATAATACGCAATACTATTTATAATTCAGTGAAAAACTACACTACATACTAATATTAGAATAAAACCGATCATAATAGTTTATAAGAGTTTAAAATCAGAATTATTTCGTTATAACTATACAAAAATTGATGTAAAAAAACACATAAAAATGTATTACTCTGCTAATTTTACAACCATTAGTATTGACAATAACACACGAAAATTTACTGAAGCCATTATACACATGTTTCACCATTGTAATTTCCTCCYCCAAACAACCAAACATTGTCGTTACCTAACAACATGCATTCTGGATGAAGTGCGATGGGTCTTCATTTTGCTGACTGTATGCGATACATGATTCTCCACAACCAGTATCAACAGCACAATCCTCGAACAAATACGAATTTATTATCGATAGAGTTAGTAWAGACCTAACCTAACCTATAGAATTTAAAATTTAACTGATAATTTGTAATTAATTGTGATTGTTATCATTGAAATGGTATGGATTTTTATACCTTTAAGAGGAAATAGGATGTATCACTAATATCTGTTGCTTCTGTCTTACATGTGCGTAACATTGAAAATTTATACTTAGCAGACTCGTGTACCTTCGTCATTTTAAAATTTGAATGAATCAATCTCTGATAAAACTTGATGGTAAAAACATTATCTGTATTTGAATGTAGGTTTTTTTTACAATAATTCAGTTTTTAAATTGATTAAGAGAATTTTTAATTTATGCTTTAGACTATAAGTACGAAAAACTTGTAAAAAAATTGAAATATC